AACCCAGGTTCTTCGCAACAGACAACCTGGCATCTTAAGCCACCAAAAAAGCCCTTCGCTGCATGTTGAAACCACTTCCTGTAAAGCCATGATGTGCCCTCAGTAGTTACGTCCTGATACCTTGAGCCTCAATGCCCACGCAGACAGCAAAGGCAAGAAGGACCACCAAAGTGCAGAAGGACCACAGAAAGATGTTGGAAATTCCACTATACAGTCTGGTTTTCGCTAGGAACTGAAAATACCAAGCTCACTGAGAAAATGAACTTTTGATGATTTTCACTGAATACTAGATCTATGGAAGAAAAGTTAAACCAGACAATATGCCATTTCACAGTTAAACAGAAATCTCTAAGAAGCAGTGGGAAAAGAGATATTAATTATCTTAAAAAGGAAAAGATGGTTTGGAAGACAGGAGAATGCCAAAGGTTCTCCAAGTTGAAAACTGTAATAAATAGCCAAACTGGCAAATGAGCAAATTGCATTGGGTAAACTTAGGACTTAAACATAGGTATCTGTGGCTGAAGACAAGTAAAGTAACAGAGTATTGGAGGTCAGAAAAAAAAAACATACAGGGAAGTAAGACGCAGACAGTAAATACAGAAGACCCGCTGAAAAAACACCAAGGGCAAAGAGAACACAGGACTTCCTTTGAAGGTTTAAGTAATATCAAAGAGAATCAGCTATAAGGAACAAAAAAAATAGAAAAGTTTGCAGAAACAGACAAAATGAGTAGTCTGGGGAACATGGCAAAAACGAGGGAGTTTTACGAGTGCAGTTTGAGGAAGTACTTCCTCTGAAAACTTTCAAAGAACTTCAGCAACTCTCCAATTCTTAATGCAAGAAATTAACAACAAGATCCCAAGAAATCTTATGCAATTTCAGGTTTTTACCGTTTTTTTTTTTTTTTTAACAAGAGAGAATGTTTAGACCACAAAGGAAAAAAAAAAAAAGAAAGACAATTAAGATACTAACAAAATTCCTAAGTGCATAAGTAATTAAGAGGTGACAGGGACAAAGGGAAAACTTATGATCATCTCTCTGTAATCAAGGTAATGGGATAAAACAGCAAAGGGTCATCAGGAGATATAATGGATGTGAACCTGTACAACAACAGCAATGATCAGAGTCAAAAAGAGTTAATACTGTCAGATACTAACTTAAGCAACTCAAACTTGGCAAAAAGCAACAGCTCTGTATCTTTTAGTTAAAGAGCTTTAATGTAAAGTTAAAATTTACATATGATTTGTTTCAGAGGAAAAGAAAGAACAAACTCACCATAAAAATATTATTTCTTAAAACTTCTAAAAACATTGCTATTTCTCAAAGCATAACATGACAAGGGGGTTTTCCCCTCATACATTGTTACAATAAAGCCAGCATGCAGTGTCCTAAACAGGTTAATAATGCAATGTTTCAATTTGTTATAAAAATTATGTGGGCTCATATGGTCTTCATTCACTGCGTTCATTGCTTTCATGAGGTTCCCTACAAGCTGCCTCAGAAAAGCTCTACCTGCTCCCCAAAAACTGTCGCCATTAGTTGCCTGTCTCACAGGGCTGTAAAGTGTGAAGAAGCTTTTTCAGCTCTGTAGCTGAATTAAAGCTGTTAATGCACATGGCCTACTACTGGTGCCTGCCTGACAACAGACAGCTGTAATCACTTTGAGGGAATGGCAATTTTCAGTGACTGTGCCTTCACCCAGTCTTCAAGGGAACAGTACCCAAGAAGATAACTGCTGGCAAAAATATCTGCAACTGAGTGTGGAGTCATATTCTCTGATGAATGGTGTGCATTTCAGGGTTTTCTTTATTTAAAGATTCTTTATTTAAAGACTCTTGTTTATTAAGAGGTAGAAATAAAACTCCAAAAGCATAAATCAGTCTGGGGGGGGGTCTAACATCTTTTTAGATAATATTAGAACATAATAAATTCGAAGTATGACATGAAAACAAATATTCACCAGCTAATATCAAGTACAGAAGGGCAGTCCCAGGAAAGCAGACTCACCAGCAGGAGAGGTTCCCACTTAAAGCAGTGTTAAGAGGTAGGATCTGACAGAGAAAACTCCTAATGAAGATCTACATTGTTAGTAATCCTACAAAAAGAGCACACTGACTTACAAAGCTGGAAACCTTTGGGACATTTTGGATCTTAATCCTTCAGTCACGATAAAAAGTTTCTGTAACAAAACCCCTAGAAAACTCAGCAGGGCAAGCCATCTATCATTATACCTTTCCTCAAGTTAAACAAGAGGAGAATTATGCTATAAGACAAATGTTACAGTTTCAGCTGCATTTGGTAATTCAAAGTGAAGCCTACAAATGAGATATCTCATTAGTTTGAGCAGATGGATCAAAATTAAAGACTGAATCACCAACTCTTAATTTCCCAGTAGCCAGGAAGAGCTTGAAGTCTTGCAGAGGATGAATGTTGAAAAATCAACATAAAAAGCTTCTCTCCATCTGTCAAAACACATGCCTGTAGAATGCAACTACCTCTTACCAGCCTCAGTCTTAAAAAAATGAAAACATACATACATCTATTAAGAACACTTTGTCAATCACTGTAACCTATAATATGCCCGGGACACATCAGCATGACTTCCATAAGAGTAAATTATTTGGTTCTGGCATGGTAGAATTCTTTGAAAATGAGTTAACAGAACAGTAAACAGTGTTGAATTTGATTTATTAAGACATTCCAAATACTCTGGTAAAGAGTCTTAAGGGACAACACTGTGAAAGTTTCATGGCCACTGGAAGGTGTACATTAACTTGTAGAACTTTAGAAGAGGAAAAGTATTTTTCTCTAATTCTGGTATTGCCTTCTTGTCCTTCAGAACAAAACAAAATAGGTACATTTTTGGCTCTCTGGAGCATAGCTGATGAGATCTGTGTCTGTCATACATTACTGCCTGAATAATGATAAAATTCCAACCATGCCCTGAATTCCATACAGATAAACAACTGCAGTAGATTTTTTTTTCCTCTGAAGTATTAGGGGAGAAGGTATAAATACATATTTCTAAGAAAAACATTTAGAAATAATCACTGCTTTGTTAAAAAGCAAACAACTTTGCACACACAGAGCATGACAGTAACAGGCTATGGTGAACGTGGATACAAGTTAATGGACTTCTTAAAACTAAGAAAATCTGAAGATGGTGATAACTTTAGAAGATCAAAGACTATTCTCAAATTTGTGAAAAGACACTAAAGAAAACTTTCCTAGTATAATATTCATCATATTCACTCATAATATTCATCTGCTACTATGGTGCAAGCAGCTCAATGCAGGTATATCTACATGACTTTTTTTTATTACTTTTTTTTAATATCTGCAGTTGGTTTAAAGATTTGACAGATCATTTTTCATAGCACACTCATTAGAAGGAAAAATTCCTAATTTTTAGTATTTGGTAAAACACAACATACTGTAATTAACTGTATTGTGCAATGATCTGATATGCATAGTTCTGCATTTTCGAATGCAGTATACCAGTGTTTGTATACGATTCATTTCAGAGTATGAATTTGTGTTTCCTAACTGTTCTCAAGGAAAGCTAAAAAACGACCTCCTGCTAGACTTAAACAACTTATTGTACTTGAATTTTTTAAAATAATATTATATATGTTTGTAGAAAATTTTTCCTCAGCGTGAAAAGGGGGAGAAAGGTGCAATAAATACGCTGGAACAGCACGAAACTTCGTGCTGAGAATCCAAGATATGTTACTTATTTAGACATACTGATTTGAAGAACCTACTATTCATAGGTTTATCTACAGCAAGTGAAAACACACAAAATCATAAGAAATGAAAGATAAGAAACTAACATACCTCAGTACTAGTTATTTTGTAAGGTACGTGCATAATTGACAATGAGAAAAAAATAAAGTTCCCTTGGTGCTGCCAACAAATTTTGTTAACAATCTTCACAAGAAAATATCAGCACTTCCATATGTAATCTTCAGGAAAGTTTTCTGAATGTAATGAACAGTAACTGATATCAACAACAGAAGAGAAGTGGAAGAATGGTGTTAAAGCAGGGGAGCAGGAGGACTAAGAAGCTGTTGCTGGAGTATTTCCACCCCCTGAAGTCATAAACCAACTGTTCATCTTTCAAAAACTCCACAATCTGCATTTATGTGAAAAGAGGAAAACGTGCAATTCTTAGTGTGACTGTGTGGGAAAGTTTCCCCCTTTTATATGGAAGTTATTTAATGAAAAGCCTTTTCAAGGATCACAGTGCGTTTGTTCCTGTTCCGAACATGTGCCATACCTGCTACAACTCCTCCTGCTTAAACTGCTGTGTTTCGCAAAGTTCTAGCAGAAATGTGACATCATGTGGGGGTGATGCAGGAGCACAGTAACAACAGAATGATAAAACTATTCAAGGCAAATGAGTTAAGCCCATAATCTTAATGGAGGGGAATATAAGGCTTGAAAAGTCGCTGCAGAAATCTCTATTTTAAAACAAAATGAAGGATTACTTCCTTTATAAAGAAAACAAAACACAAACCCCAGGATATTTCAAATGACAGATGCTGAGCCCTTGTGCCCCATATCTTCAACCCTGCATAATTTTCATCGCTCATCTTTAACAAGAGATACTAGAATTTGATAGATATGGGAAAGCCTAAGAAATAACTAAGTGCTATACTTTTCATTTTTTTAATCATTAGATGTACCTAAGTGTAAGGTCTCCAAATCACTGACCCACTTTGCCTAGTCATTTTTTAAAAAGTGACATATATATATACATTAATTATTTTAAGGGATATGTAAAGGACCAAGAATTTTCACCTTGGATAGAAGCTAACATCATTTAGCCTGGTTAGATTTTCTTGCATGCTGTTTTTACAAAGTGTCAAGATTCGACATGACCTCTGAAGTGACACATCTCAAAATAATTAAAAAAAATTCTTAATCTAGAGTTGTGACGATCAAAACTAATTCCATTATATGTGTTCTGAATGCAAACCAAAGCAGAAAATTAATACCTGGTGTCCAGCCATTATTTGCTTCAGCACATTTTCATAACATACTTCATCCATATGATTCAGTTGTTGCACCTGAAAAACAAGCATCGTATTACATATTAAACGTGTTTCTGTCTTTACAGATTTTCTACTACATATCAAACAATTTACAGTGATCCATGAATGAAAAAATGTGATTATGTAATTAAATTTACAATATACAGATTCCCATTCTTAACAATATCATTTTGGTATTAAATTCACAAACAGAAAATGAAAACAAATAGACAATATATGAGTAAGGGCAGTGGATAGAAAATTTATTCCATGACTTTGTTGGTGCTTTTATTGACTAGAGTGATGTAAGCCAGTTCTATTCTTTTAAATTATCTGTTTCGTATTAAGAAATCTTACTTCTACAGGATATTGATGAAATATCCATTTAATATGTCATCTTACCTAACATTAAGTCCTTACATTTGGTAATATAAAAATCGATTTTACACTGCAGATATATCCAGGAAATTACTGATTGTCAGTTTTTTTGTCACAGAGATTTTTTTTCTTCACAGTTGGGTCATGTATGGGAAACAGTGGGAGTACAGTATACAGAGCTTCTACTTATGAATAAATAAAATGTTTCAGGAAGAATAAAAAGTTCAAAATAAAGAGTTCAGTTGAAAAAAAAAGTATTCTTCCACCTCAATATTTTTTCTATTTCTTTAATGCAACACAATATAAATAGCATGTATCTACTTGAATGCAGCTCTGTATTAAGGTTGTAACAAATAAAAATAAATAAAGTCCAAATCAGAGCAATCACTCCATTCGCCATTTGTACATTCATCTTTTATAATGAAATATTCTGACACAAAGAAATTCTTACAAGAACAAAACATGTAAAAATTTGAAAATGGAAATCTAGTAGTTGGAGTAATCTAAAATAGCTGAAAGTTGACAATCACATCTTTAAAACAGCTTTAGAGGGAACAGGATAATCGTACAAGCATAGTAATAAAAAGATGAGACAATATGGACATATGTGGAAGAAACAGGTAGACAGTCTAAGTATTCTGAAAATGAGAGGCCAGCATTTTAATTAATTATTTTTTCAAATAATAACAAGTAAAAATCATTAAGTAGAAACATACATGAGCAGTGCATAAACACACATGAGGACATACATATTTACATACATACAAAGGTAACTTTACATATTCTTTGCATTTATACCTAAAGAGGAAAACATAAACATGGACCAAGAAAAATAACTGACATTAAAAAAAAAAATCTGACATTAACAGACCTCTGACTGAAGAAGCCAAACTTTAATCTTGGCCCCATACGCTCTAAGAATTTCAACATACAGAATTTTAAGAGCTTCCCTGGCTAACTTCTATGCATAATAAGCACACCATGCTATTCTTGCCTTTGAAAGCTTGACTACAGTTTGCATATGATTCCACAAATCGATAATCAGCTCCAGTTCTGGGGGAAGTTTTTCTGGATAAAGGATGTCAGAAAGCAGAGGCAAAACATCTACCTACAGCAACTAACAGTCTTCTACTTCTTTGCAGCTCATCAGTGTGGACATAGACATTGCACTGATTGCATTTGCTGATGTTCTGCTTTCCTCCTCTCACATAGACCAGAAGGATGTTGATATTACTGCTTTTTCAGCTTTAGCATTAGTATTATTCTGTATGGAATCCTTTTTCAAACAGGCTTGATACTTTTTGTTTGCTATGAAGTGTATGATCTTAATTGCAAAATATACTTTATGAAATCTGTAACGACATTCTTCTGAAAAGCAAAAAGCTGTGGTATTTCAGAATAAATACTACCTCCTAGTATTTCCTCATCTCCACTTGCTTGTTTGTTCTTTTTTTTTAAAAACCTAACTGGTTAAGATTTTATAGGATTATTTGTATATCTATTTGATTTTTAAATCACAAATGCATTACAGAGTGAGTATGAAGAAATGAAGTCTTTACCACACAGTGGAAATAAACTAAATATGCAAAACAAAGTATCAGGAAAAGATTAAAGAAAAGCAACTGCAAGTAACAGTGAAGGTACTTGAAACAATTAATGAAGGTTAAAATATGCAAATCACAATAAACACCATATGGTAAACTACTCTTCTGTGTATAGACTTGAAATGGCTCCCTACAGTTGTAGAATAAGTTTCTTTCCTGCGCTGCAGATAGAATGAACTACTTAAATAACCTGGCAAAAAAGGCAATGTCCATTTAAAAAAACCCAACAAACAAAATCCCTGGTATTATTGATTAAGCTATGAAATTAACTTTTGATTGAAAATGTTTTGACTTCTATTAAATTAAATTATAGCAGAGTAAGATTTTCTAAAAGCTAAGTTATATAAATTCTAATTATCAGCTAGTGGGGTGCATGCAAAATCTTAAAGAAAAGTGTTTCTATTAATTCCTGTATTTAAAGAAGAATTAAAATTTACATGTCAAGTGGCACTGCATGTAAGATTTTTAATAAGAATATTATATCTGACCATGGCCTTACTGCTTCCCAAACTGAGTGAGAGCACAGAGTAAAGAAGCTTATTTTGGGACCACTTTAGTGTGTTTTCTATCAAATGTGGACATATGATAGCTAATGATTTAGCATGCTAAAGGTTTTCATCAGCAACTTGTATCCAGCTAATATTAATGCACATGATGGTACTGCATGTATCTGTATCTATCTCTCTCTCTATATATACAGATTTCATAAAGAAGTATTATATTCCTCATGCATCTTACAGTCAAGCAAGGCGCACCAGTTTTTCAAGCAAAATGGAAAACTGAAATATGAATAATCAGCTGCTACAGTGAGTCTGCAGTTGAGGGTGATGTTTTCTCCTTCATCAAGCCAAATTTAGTAGCAAAGCAAAAGCAATGCAAAGCTAGATGCCATTGTATCTAACTGCAACAAAGCCTATTTACAAGACTGTAAATGAAGGAAACATGATTCTTAAAGCACTGTTAAATTATGTATATCTTTATTCACAAGAAAAGATGCTTCATTAAAGACCTGTAGCATAATAAACCAGTATCCTCTACACATGCGTACATTAAGTATGGTCAAAACAGCAACCCTCCCTTTGGCATTTACCTTATTGGTTGTCTTAATTCCTATAAAGGTTTGCCCCAGTGGTACAGGTCGGAAACGGCCATCAAAGTAGAATAGTCCAATATAGGGATTGACGTGTAGAAATGTAGCAACATCCAGATAATTGGGTAATGTAGCTGAAAGGCCCAAAATCCTAATCATACTTTGCGTAGATTCAACCTATTTAAAAAACAGAAAACCTGCAAATGATCTAAGTGTTTTAAGCCAAGATATAAAGCAGAGAGTTTTAAACCATCCCTTATATAACAGTAATGTGAAAGAAGCAGTTAATACTTTCTACAAAAGGTGAACAATAGATGTGAGTTAGTGATTATCCTATATTGGAGAAACCAGAGCACTCTGCTTTTCCACCAAATTTTGCTTATTCATCTTTCTGTTTTATTGTACTTTTGCCCTCCAGAAGGTTAGCAGTCATTAACTGACATGGAGGAACAATAGCAGTAAAATGGGCTTTGTGTTAAGAAGCAGAAGTCCAATTTATAGGCAAAACTAGGACAGATAATTTGATATTATTTCTTTCTTAGTCCAAACCACAGCTCAATTCTGAAAAGAAAGAACATAGTTCCTTAGTCCTGGCTTTTGCTTAGACCTTTTCACAACTCTCTTATACAATCTATCCTGCTCCTCTGTAACACACGTTTTTTCCTTTTTTTTTTTTTAAATTATTATAATTCCCCAAGTATTTGCGTTGCATGCCTACCAATTCAATAAGGGACATAAATGGTGCTTTACATTTAAATACCCTGCTCCTTATAAAAGCCTGCATATTATATGTATTTCGAGGTAATTTTCAAAAAGAATGAAACCAGCCAAAAGACTTGAATTAAGAAAGTATGCAAGAATTTTCCCATTTCCTCTGCAATACTAAAAGCTGTGTTGGCTAGCTCACAAGTTTCTTACTAGCATAATTATTATGGAGCAACGTTCACAGCAATTTTCATCAAAAGGTCTTTTAGACACTATAACTGAAGCCATATATGAGGTTCTCAATGTCTCATGATGGTTGGTAACTTCCACCTACCTAAGTCCTGTTCAAAACTATGAGGTTTTTATTTAGAATATAGCTTTTGAATCACTCAGGTGTTTGACTTAAAGTGAACGGAAGTGCCATGTAATTAAATCAGATGAATTAAAAGTTTTCAAAACAGACTATTAAAAAGTATATGTAGAGCATTCTGAAGGAAGATAAAAGACACCATACCTAACACGGGCCTGGGGAATAACAAGTGCACCAAAATAATAAACTAAATCCCCAAAGAAACCACCTCCCACAACTCTACAGACATAAAGCAGACAAAACAAACCACTCAGTTGCCTGGCAAAAATCTGGATGCTCGAACTATGGATGTAATGAACTAAACACCGCAGAAAATAATTTGTTTTACCCTTTTGCGCTTATATAAAGAGCAGCTTTGCAAGGGGAATCCCATGTACAACAAAATCTCATCTGTAAAGGCAAATTTTGAGATGACTGGGAGAAATGAGAGATTGCAATTTAAAACATATTCCGTCTGCTGGGAATAAAAGCACCTTGAAGGACAAAGAAGCACTACCATTTTTACACATCTTTTTAATGCCAGATTTGGTGGGGTGGGGCGTGTGTGAGTGTGTGGTAACTGGTTTTCTTTTTTACTTGTTTGTTTTTTTAGGGTTTGGTTTTGCCTCAGTCCCCTGGAACCCCACCTCCTTCTGCGCTGATCTTGGTGTCTGTGGGGTACTTTCTCACACTTTTTTTTTTTTAAAACCCTTGAATCTGAAGGAACAGTAACCACCTGCTGATATACTTATCCTGTACTTTTTTCGCAATCACATAATAAGTACAAAAACTTGAAAGCGTAACTGAAGTCCAATCTGGAAAATATTATTTAATTTTGCTAACTTCAGTAACAACTTCTGTCAAATCTCCTGAATCTAAAACCACTAGTTTGAAAGTGTGCTCAGTTCCATCAAAAGGTTGGAAAACATTTCAAGTATTTAAACAATTAACAAGAACTCTGCTTAATAACCAGGGAAGTATGGATTTTTACAGCAATTAACTGCAAGCTGCTTGTCAGTTTTCTTTCAAAATATAAACAATGCCTAGAGAACAGTTACAATTTACTGAGACTTGCCACTTTCCAAACCTTTGTAAAAAGCCATTTAACTTCACTGCTCCGGCAGTTGGCCCTGCAGTTAAGGAGCTGATGGAAAACCCTGAATTACAACGAATTACAACTCCACATGAAAACCACAGCAGAGTTAACACAAACAGTTTATTAAAGTTATTAACATGCAGAGCGCATTTTAAAGCAAACCACATTTTTGCATATTTTATATAATACCTCACATATGCATATGTGTATAGTGCCTACATTTTTTTTCAATTTATAAATCTGAAATTTGCAAATTATTTGGACAATTAAGTTTCCTATTTATATCAAGCCACAAAAATCAAGTCTCAGTGCTATACAAAATCAGGGTATAATGTCTTTTGCTCTACAGTAACATTATGTTGGTCTTCATAATTAATTGAAAAATATTATGGCTGTAAATAATTCCATCAATTTCTCCAATTCCTTTCAAGACCATCCAAAAAAACAACATAAAAACCTATTTATTACCAACTACTTCTATATCCAATTCGCAGCACAAAATATCAATAATTAATATATATTTAAAAAAACCCAAGCAGCAAGAAGTAAAAAGCATTTACCTTAAAAAACAAAAATGTATCATAACAATTCTCCCAGTTATTTTATGCTTGCATCAAATTCGAACTGTAAACTAAACCTTTATGTGTCTGCATATCATCACATACATATATGGAATGAGTTTGTTTAATCTTTTAATTATATATGTCAATATACAAAGAGCAGTGACTAAAACTGTGCTAAACATAAAAGTTTGAAATATAAATTACCTGAGTGTGCAACCATAACATGTACCTACGTACTTTATTTTGCATTTTCTCTCTGATTATAATGCAGTTATTTATCTATTATTTATCTATTCAAGCACTACAAATACTTTTTGTAATAGCTTGTAGAATTTTAACACATTTTTAGAACAGAGTTCTCGGCATAAATTTTTTCTGCCTTTCCCTTGAAAAGCAGGCATTAGTATGTTTTGTTCTCATATGCTTCTAAAGAAAATGAGTCTTGAAAGTGCGAAGATGCCCTTTGTAAATACAGTCCATTCAAACATTAATATTTTTCTTGTGCTGGATCACTTTTTACTTGCTCCTCAAAGTCCCATTTAGAGACTATGCCTTCATACTCAAGAGACTGTGAACATATATTCTTTTCCTGAAACCGCTGTAAAAATTACTGAAAAGACATTTTGGATGACAAATTCTCTGCATCACTGTCTGGAGGTACACAGCTAAGTGTGTCTTCTTCACTACTGCCAAACAATCACAAACATTTTAATCTTCATATGTGTTTAATCATCTCAGTAAAAATATAAGCACTATTTGGAACTTAAAAGGCTTTCTTTGGAAAAACTAACTGTCACAGTTTTTCACATCATGTTCTCTGAAAGCTTTTCTGTATTTTATTGATTTGATGATACACTGGAAGTAAGAAATAAAATTGCCATAACTATATTTAATTGACATATCTAATTAGTATATCTAATTCAGAAGCATTCATGATGGCATGCGGAGAATTGAAAACATGTTCACCATATACGTTTGCAGAACATGATTATCACACCATGAAATTCCATGCACACAGAAAAAAATAAACAGAAGATAGCTCTCAAGCATCATCTGTGCTTACACTGTAATCGATAAAGGTACAGGTATGAGAAGTGCCTCTCTAGACTGTAAATCAATCACAGCAGGATAATTTTCTTCCTAATAGGTTTTAAGATTTGCATATCATCTTATTACATTACAGCTGCCACTTGAGTGCATACAGAGTATGCATAGCGATACTCTTTATCTGACTTCTAAAGTTCTTCCTGAACTTTGTGAACTTGGCAGTCTTCCCATTTCCATGCATTAAAATATCACATTCACAGAATGAATTACAATCAAGCTGGAAAGCATATCCCTAATTGTTTAACTCAAGCACAGAATTAAGTAAAGCAGACAAGTTTATATATTCTAATCTTTGAAGAACTGTCCACTGGTTTGAAATTAATCTGATATTCAGATGACCCAGGAACAATTTAACAGTCATCTTCAGTCAGTCTGTATGCCCTTCAGATGTACACAGGACAAGATACACAGAAAATTAGGCAGAAGCATTTCTTAGTTTTTAGACTACACATGCAAGAAGACTTAGAAACTTAGGCTCCTGAGTTCCAGAATCAACAGTGGTAAGAATGAAGCACTGTATATCGGGACTCACGTTAGTTATTAGCTAGATCCTACCCTGCCCACAGAATGTCTAATAAAAGTCTCAGCCTCTCACAAGATCTGTTTTTGCCATTATTCAAAAAAAACAAGAAAAAGAATGAAAAATCCACAGAGAAATTATAAGAACATAAAGAAATAAAATTAAAGGCATTTCAAAATGACTAAGAATGACTAGGAAGTTTGTTAGAATGTTTCACCAGTGTATACTTGTTTATTGATATCTTGTTTACTGCCTAATGAAGGAATTAAGAAGTTGTCCATCAGTCCACAGGTGGTAATTTCCTAGTTTTAGGGATAAAAATGGAAAACCCAATAAAATTGTAAAATCAAAAGTACACAGTAAAAATGCAATTACTAATACTGTTTTGACGATTCCACATAGGACGTTATCTACAACTCAAACACTCTGCACAGAATGCATTTGTTACTAGGCAACCATCTAGTTAAGTAATTTTATAAATGAGTTTTACTCTGCTTCCAGTGAACCCTGAAAATACCGTGCTCTCGGTCCTCCACTTAGAACATATTTAAAAATCTAGAGGTACTGAAAAAATGTAACCATGCAGAAAGCACTATTAGAAGCCATATTATTTTCCCTCAGTGAAATATTAAATACGCAATACTTTGCCTTAAGAAATGACATTCTGAATATACCTATTAAGAGATTTCTATGCCCTGCACAGTGCCAGGTCAGTTTTTCTTGAATGACAGAATGTCTTTTCATGCTGTGTTTAATGTTTTGTTCCTGAACTAAGAAACAAAAAGAAATATGAACCTTTCTACAAATCAATTTAACTGCTTTACCATATTATGAAAG